GGGGCCTTTCTTCGGTAGGGCTTGAGCCGCACCGTTGAGGGATGCGGGGATGAGTGGAAGTACCGTCTCGGTTAGAAGGCGGCCGAGCAAGCAGCAACTTTTTGCAAGGTTTTAGCAGCGATTTAAACAGCGGATGTGCCTGGGGACTTGTAGGATGTCCGTGTCCTGGTCCGGCTCTTGTGCGCGATGACTGCTTTTAAACACGTGAAGGCTGTTGATTCGATTCCTAGCCTTTGCTCAGTCTCTGGTAATCAAGCGTATTCTGTATTTTCTGCTTTAGAGCACAATTGTCACTTCCCTTTCCAGAGTCAAGTGGAATTGGATACGTGGTCATTTTAAACTCCGCTTCACATTTGCCAAACAAGAATGCGATCGCTGTTCTATTAACGATAAGTCTCTTCTTAAACTCCCATAAAACAGGTCATTGGAAAATCGTGTAATATGCTGCAAATACCTTGGCTTTTTAATGCAATCTGAAATGCTCAGGAGCCACCGACCGTATTTAGCTGTTTATCCAATTTTACTTTGAATGATTGCTTCAGCAAACTTGGTGGAGATCAAAGAATCCCTCTCTGACATGTTCGCCTTTCATTAGCTCTGCGCGCTGGAGTCCTGAAGCGATCTGGGAAGTTCACTTGGAAGTTTTCCGTTTTGATAGCGTTTGGCTGAGAAGTGTCCAGATATTTGAAGGTTTTGTCCGCTGAAGTAATTGCCAATTTGGCAAGATTCACGGGGGTTGAAAAGGGCAAAAAAAAAAAAAAAAAAAAGTAGTACATACATATGCGCGCGCACACAGACACGATCCCTATTTTCTATCTATGTCTGCATTTATGACCTTAGCTCCTCTGGTCTGGAAAGGGCCTCCTGGCAGAGCCCCGGCGTGCAGTGAGCGGACCAGACCCGGGGAAGGGTGTTGGTCCCGCGCCTCCCTGGCAGTCAGAGCGCCGTGGGTGCTCCTTGGCCCGAGCAGGCGGCAAGGACCGCGTGTTTCCGCACATCACCTGCTGCCCTCCCCGCGGGGGGAAGGAGCGCGGTGCTCCGGGAAGCTTCACCC